GGGGGACTATAAACCTTGAACCCTACGTAAACGGAGATTGTCGCATCACCGTCATGCAAAATAATCAACCTCTCTTCGCTACAGGCGCCTGGTAGCCGACTCTCCGAAGTGAACAGCATCTAGCTGAAACCTTGTCCAACTCCTGTGCCTAGAATAGTTACCGTTTTTCGAAGTGAAGGATGATTTCGTGCAGTGGATCCTCATGCCGTTCTTTTGCCAAAGCAGTTGCAAACCAGTATGGAGAATCCTAACCACCCCACCATACTACCACCCCCCCAGTTTTCCAAAAAATCACGATTATGGCTAATGAAGGTCGATGTTAAGGGGAAACCTGGAGAGAGGGGTAGCATAGGAACTCATGATGATGCCAGGCCTGTGCACAGCATTCAGGGTGGACACAGGTGTTCTTCGCCTGTGCACAGAGGCCAGGTGCTTGGGTTTGGTGGTCAAGGTGGCAATATTCCTGCAATCTTGGTTTGGGGTCAGGATACCCGAAACCCTTAGTAACAATTAATAATAACAGTAGTAATATTCGAGATGATGATAATTGATAGCAATATATAAATGGAGCTATTTAGACTCACGGGCCCCTGGGAATTCGTTAATGGTCTCTGCAAGAGGTCGTCTCCGGAAAGACGTACCATGCAAGGCCGCGTTCTATCAAGGGGCTCAAATATCGAAGCTTCTAGTTGTCCCTTGGTCATGCACAGTGAGGACCCCCATGATTCCTGGTATACAATGAGTAATCCCTATACAATGAATAATCTCTATACATCCCTAGGGTCCCTAAGAGCCCCCCCTGTTTGAGAAACCCCCAAAATATCATTAAAAGAACCACACCTCTGCAGCCGTACTTGGCAGCGAAACTGGTCTGGCGTTTAGAGCTTTAAAGCCCAGATATCTTATTCATAAACTCCCCCAACAGATGAGAGTTTCTCAAATTAGGGGGCCTGAGGACTCCAAGGGATACATAGGGATTATGAGGGGATTGCGGGGTCCTGTTAAGGATTGTATAGGCGCTGTTTTGCAAAAACGTATCCCTTTGCGTGGTCTCCACGGGAGCCCTTAACCCGCGGACCCGAAACCCCAAACCCTTCACCTGAAAGCCCCCAAACCCGAATACCGCAAGCCTGAAACCCTGAAATCCCCAAGTGAGCTCACTGCATCCTGCAATCTTCAACTCTCCACCTCCAGAACCCTTAGCCCCTACATTCTAAACCCCAAACCCTCAAACAGCAATGCCAGAAATCTACAAGTATTAGCAACGTCTTACTCCACCCCATAGTAATAATGCGAGTAGTACTGATAGTATGACTAGTAATATCAGTAATAACGACCAGCAATAGTAGTAGCAATGGTGGTAGACTTCCTAAGCCCAAGACTCGAAGAGAACAAGTCTGGGTTGCGCTTGAAGGACTTAAATTAAGTTACCAGAATATAGTCATTTCAGTAAAAAATAGGGTTTTCTTTCTATAGAAATCCAATTTGAATTCCTTCACAGGAACCCCGTAGTAGTAGTATCCCCAAAGCGCTTTTACTCGCCTTCCCCTCGTAGGCTGTCTCACCGATTGGCATAAAGCACCGTGCGCAGAGCGTCACCTGCCGCCGAATGGGCCCAATGTTCAGGGTTCGGGGCTTGGGGTTTAGGACTATTGGGGGGGAGGGGGGAGGGGGGGGGAGGGGTCGTGAATTGGGTGTGCAAATGCTGGCATGCAAGCTGGACATCATCTCACTGTTGCATCAGTCCAGTCGCTATCCAGTTTTGGATCCTTGTCGGAGACATGTACTTAACATGAGGGGAGGTAGCTTGTAGCTTGCAATGTTCACATAGAAGAACTCTGCATGTGGCTGAAGATACTGTCCATACCAATGTTAGAGAGACTGTGGACTCCTCTGCCATACGAGTTCCCAGCGCTGCCTTTGTCGTCATTACCTTTAGCTGGTCCAGATTATCCCTACTTGCCTGCGCAGGCCTTCAGGTTCAGAGGGCCTTTTGCACGCGCTACGAAAAGCCAAAAAAGATGTCCCCTGCATTTCCCCAAATGCAGTTCCAAAGACCAACTGATTTCAAGACGGCGGAGTCTGTTTCGACGCCTCACTTCTGCAGGTCCCACTTCACGCAGTGTATAGTGCCAGGTGTCAACCTCGCACACCGAGAAGTGGAATCTGCATGGTACCCTAGCTCTTCTCCTGGCCACTCAATTCCTTGGCCCATGCCTCCACCGCATGATTTGTGAACAAGAGATTTCCTGGAAGGTAGTTGAAGACCGAGCTTTCGAGAAACTTTCCAGAGCTTTGCTGGGTATCTCTAAGTTGGACTCCTCGACAGGGTAAACAAACAGGTAGGCACCATCACAGTGACTGGAACATGTCTGCTGTTTTGGGAGAAGTGTGTCTCACAAACTACCATGGTGCTGGGAATCTCCACGTTTGGCTTAGAGAACAGCGTGTTCGCAAGACGGCTGATCTGAACATACTAAGAAAGAGCACGGCGGACCGAGCAGGTACAGTTGCCTTCCAAACTTCTATGACCGGGACCTGCATATAAGTCTTTCCAAACCAGGGCACAAAGCTGATAAACACCCTTAAGTAGATAGAGTATGGAATTGTCCAATATCATAATATGATCCCCATATACCCCATACTCTATCTAATTAAGGGGGACTGTACACCTTGACACACATGCTTCCAACACCAGGCCGTGCTCATGCCATGAGAGCTAAGGAATAAAGTTAGGGTAGGGGGGGACCTATAGAGGGATGTATAAGGGTTTAGGGGGGAACCTTTAAAGAAAAAACTATAATACCCTGAACCCTAAATCCTAAACCCGAAACCCTAAATCCTAAATCCTAAACCCTAAACCCTAAACCTTAGTCCAGGGCTCCTATCAAGGCTGGTTCGCTCGACAGAGGAGGCGAGCTTTTCCACAATTACCGCCATGCTGCAGATGGTGCCCGCTACCTTGGTCCCTGTTAAGGCTGAGGATATGGGATTTGGGGTTTGGGATTTGGGGTTTGGGATGTGGGGTTGAGGGTTTGGGATTTGGGGTTGAGGGTATGGGATTTGGGGTTTGGGGTTTAGGGTCCCTATGTAGGTGCTTCTAAGAATGCACCTAGCTCTCCAAAATGGAAGCCCAATTTGAAACCAAACTACAACACCACAAGCATCTAAAAATGGAAGGCGAGAGGACCTAGGTATTCTAGGGGGGTCTAGGGGCCGAAGTTGAATGACTCACTTGTCACGCGCACCTTCAGTATATGAGCCAAAGTTTAAACTCCTAGTATCCCCCCTAATAAGCCTTATAGTAGTGCCCTATATACTCTCTTATATAACCCTCTTCAAGGAGTTTAGACTATAATTCTTTTAACAGGCGGGGGTTCTAATTCACCCAACCCCCTGAAATCAGGAGCTTTTGGTAGGGTTTGGGGCCAGATTGCGGAACTAAAGTCCTTCTTTTAATTTAGGGTTTAGGGGTTTAGGGTTTTGTTGTATAGTTTAAGGTATACGGGGGGATGATAAAACCCCTGCCAGCAGGAGCCGAGATGCAGCCAAATAGAGTCCGAATACCGCAGTACCTGGGTCTCACTGGCGCAAAGGGATGTCCAGAGGTTCAAGGCAATGTTAACCTATTTTTAGCTGTATTCAAAACTCTTATAACCCAATTCAATTCAAAACCGTATTAGGAGACTAAACGATGTTCACAATTGAATTTTAAGTAAAATTATATATGGCCGATAATGCCCTTAAACCTCCAAGTACTGACTGACTGGGGGGGGGGGTTCTTGTTTTGTGAGTCTTGTATCAGAGAAGCCTTCATTGTGTCGGCTTTTGGGTTGCTGGGTTCAGGGATATTGGGGTTTAGGGTTGAATTTGTATGGCCTCCTATACAAAGGAAACGCTTAATTCTGTGGAAATTCCCTCCTTTGGTGGATATAAGAAATCCTGCATGACCCTTTCAGTACCTCCTGTCTTGGGAGTCATGGTACTACAGTATACTATGGTCATGCAGGATGAATGTTGGTAATAACAACCCCTGCACACCCCCATCCCCTGAACAACCCTAGTTTCCATCTAGCTTATTCTTCATTATTTGGAGGATAATATCCCTGAACCCTCAACCCTAACATCCATCAACCCTAAACCCTATTATCCCATATCACTGCCAGAAGGTCCAGGCGCAGGCTGCACACACGCGCACACAGCGCTTCTCATTTGAGACCGCAGAGAGGATGCCTGGGTTACTGCGTTACAGCCATCGCCACTTTTTGGGGTTCAGGGCTTTTGGTGTATTAGGGCATACGGCGTATGTAGGGTTTATTCAGGCATAAAGGGAAATTGGAAAAGAAACATGGGAAATGAGATGGAAACCGGGTGCGAGTAGGGGTTTGCAGTTGGTGGTGGTAACCTGAACCCCAGAATTAATAGGTATCATATAAGCTATAATCTACACTCCCAGTATCCCCCTCAATCACCCTTATCATGCTTCCCCAGATAACCCCCCCTTGAGGAGTTTAGAGTATTCCTCGTATGAAAGAAAGCAGAGTCGCAATTTTGGAGGGTTTGGGCAGGTTACCAAGATCCTGTTGTTGGATTAGGTGACCGGGGGGTGCAAGTTGGGAAGAGAGTGTGCGGCTAAGAGATTCAGGTGTGAAACCTTCGGCCTGCAGTTTACGGTGTTTAGGCGTTTGCTTCTGTGAAATCTGGGCAGGGGTGTTTGGTCGCTTCCCTAAATAGGGACACCCCACTATAGACCCCAAAATAGGATGATCTTTTTATAGGGAGCCCCAAAGTGGTACCCGCAATTTTTTGGAACCCCCCCCCCACTTAGTAGAAAGACCCAAAGCACCACCACTACCCCGTGATTGAATACAAAACAGAAAGACTTCTGTTGAACCTGAATTCCAGGGAGCACGAAAACACACTGCGTAGAGAGCAGAGCACCTGTGACTCCAGGCAGGGTTGACTAGTCTGTTGGACCCTGAGGTAACTATGGCGTTAGGGTACCTGCTGATTAAGGATTGCAAGGAGTTCCTAACATTGGGGTCCCTCAAAACAATGTTTTTGAACAACCCTCTACGTTGGCGTGTAACATTCCTGCTGTACTGCTACGGTGCCATTTCACATTGTAGAGTTCGAGGTTGCTGCGATATGGCCTCAACCGGAATCCTTGCAACAAATTACTGAAAAATGCCCAGTATATCATCCCGTACAATCTCAGCCCATGAAAACCTAAGCCCTAAACCCTATTGCACACCGGGTAATCTGACTGACCTGTCAAGTTCACGAACTCCTGGAAGAGAGGAACCAAGTTGGCCACAAGGCAGCATGCCATCATGCAGACCTGGGTCTTATCTATAGGGTTTAGGGTTTTTGACTTTAGGGTTTAACATTGGGCCCTGCTCCAACAAATAAATGTACTATAGGTATTATCCAACTGTTAACGAGTGGCGGCAGTACCCAAGTCTTACTGGTCATACCTGGCCTACTTTGGGTTTAGGGTCCCTGCAGTCCCTTTAACATGACCCCTGGTAGAGACTGTTACTGGGTGGGGGGGCAGTACTCAAGTCATACCGAGAAAGGGTGGGGTGCCTAGTGTCCATTTAATCTTGCATCTTCCTTTCCAATATGATTCTCCATTATTGCTGCCTGAAATCCTGCATCCCCTCGACATGTATATATATATATATACATATATATATATATCACGCTACATACCCCTGCGCAACCCCTGCATGGTCCCATTTAACCCCTAAGTCGACCTACTATAGGTGTAACACTGAGGTCCTTGTTTCACCTTATCAAAGCAAAGCCCGATGCAATCTCTGCACACTTGGAAGGGGCACCATGTGCTAAGGACTTATCATGATCTGCAATCCCCTGAAGGTATATAGAGTTACATAAGCATCGGGATCTTACGTTGAGGTTGTCATGACCCATAATTCCCTAGGGTAGGGATCTCTATGATCCGTCTCCTTGGCAACTGGGGCCATCATGCAAGTCAATTTTGAATAGCTTCTGGGGACTTGGGTTCTATGAAACATCAAACGTCATGTCTCAGGAAACTCCAAGGCACCGTTGTGGCGGACAGCCACTTGACCCTGGCAGACATGCTTGCACCGAGCGCAGAAGGAACCAGGTATAGGCAAACGGCCCTGTTCAGCACCTGCTGGGAGATCGTGTAGGTCACCTTTCATGCGAGTGGCGTTTTTGAGGTGGTTAAACCCAGTAAGATTATATTCTGTGTATGAAATACTAAACCCCAAAAGGAGGATGTAGTCTTACTCTTTATTGGGCACCAGAGTATCCCAAAAAAATACCACTCATGTGGTGGCGTCCAACAAGTATGAAGGCTTCGATGGTGGAGTGTTGTGGACGAATTCAGTGCCTTGCATCATCACCTCGAGGGTGCCCCCCTACTTTCGCAGCCCCGGCGCACCTCTCATGACTTGAACATGCGCCTCTGCGTTCTTGCAAAACACTCAAGAACCAGACTGCCCCCCATACAACCCCCAATAGGCTGAACTGTCATGAGCGTTCATTAACTCTACTTGCGCTTACGCAAGCCTAATGAAGGTCAAGATGCTAGTTTCAAAGCTTCACTCAACTACAATGCGGGCAATGCTCTTGGCCACCACTCAATGTAAACTACCGGGGAAAGTGCTTCCCTCAACATCAGTAATAGGAGATACAGCAGAATTGAGAGGCTGGCGCTCGCAAAAACACAGCCTAAGGCCCGGAGGAATCCCAGATGCTGTTCAGCAACCATCAAGTGAATTACCATCATGGCGCCGCAGATTCCCTGTCTCCAATCGGCAGGCAGCACCAGAAGAAGATTTCCCGGGGTCTTCTCCGCACAAGCCTGATAGGACAGTGTACCTTACAGTGGCAAGAGGCTGGAGCAAATCAGGGACGGAAATCACGGGTTGCTTTTCCAAACTCCTCAATACGCCCTTTTATGGTAACACTACAGCAATAGCGTGACCAACTGCGTCGCTTCCATGACGGAGAAGGTACGCAATACTGATCATGGACCCGTTGACAACCAAGTATTTTGACAGGCTACGTGCTTCCCTTTGGTTGACTAGAAATGAAGAAAAGGATCCTTATACCCGAAATAACCCATTATAGTAGTTTCCATTCCTTTTCCATTCCTTCATTCCCAGCTAACCGAAGGTAAGCTTGTAAAATTAGAACGAGTCAAGAGGCCAAAAAGAAAAACACAAAGGACTGAAGAGCCTGAGACACTGACCATGGCATAAACAACGAAGAGTATGGAGAAGGACAGTGAGACTGCCTTGGGGAACTTGGAAGGCTCCCTCATCCTTAGTTCTTCAGAGACTTCAGGGCGGTTTCTAGGTGGGTTTAGGGTTTAGGTTTTAGGGTTTAGGTTTTGGGTTTAGGGTTTGGGGTTTAGGGTTTAGGGTTTGGGGTTTATGGCTTAGGGTTTGGGGTTTGGGGTTTAGGGCTTACAAAAGCAAGTAAGGGTACACTGCAGGACCTAGAATCTCAACTTGCATCTCCAGCATGATATGCTGGCCCGCAAACGCGAAGATGAAGCCGGATATGGCTGAGCTGTACTGTATGTAGCCATCCCCTGCTGAGGCCTCACTTTGGCATAATGGATCTCTGAGCAAAGTCCAAAGACACAGAACCAAAGTGGCCAAGACTGTGGCGAAGGAGATCATGCTGAGCACAGACAAGCCAGATAGGGTTCGAAACTGGTTCAGAGGCAACTGGAGCAAGGCACCAAGAAAACAAGCCGTGGGCCTCGAAAGGTCAACCATGTACAGACAGGATCTCACGGCATCTCCCAGGACAATCATATAGTTTGCCATGGTCATGAATATGTATGTGTACAGCACACAGTAGCCGTATTTTCCTGCGCGCGGGCCCACCAGCACAGCAAGCGCATCACCAAGTGTAACCACATGCGGGAGCTTCTCATGCACTTGCCAAAGGAGTATGGCTGTGAAAAGGTTGAGTGGATAGCAGGCAACAAGCACCAGCAAGCCGAACACCAAGCCCACAGTTGCCATCTGGCCTCCAAGCGCCTGCATCACAGTTTCAATGTTACTTCAGCTCGCAACCGGTCTCTTGTATCTAAAGCGCTTCCGTATCATAAAACATGCGAATATCTTCCTAGCAAGGCTCCAGGAGCTAGGACTCCAGTTCCAACTACTTCCGCGATGATCAGCGCCGATGTTGCTTGCCACGTCTGCACGTTGCTAGGCTCCACTTGCAGTTGTTCTTGAAGAAATGCTGGCCCCGGAACATCGTCCGTCAAGATCCTTAATTCCACTCTAGATGTGGGGTTGAGGAATTGGGGTTTAGGGCTTATGTATAGCAGCCACCATGATGCCCAGCTGCAAGATATCCACACATCTCTCACGCTGAAAGCTCTGAGCGCTTATAGCATGACTAGCTTTTGGTGACTTTATCATCGTGGGTGTGGAGACACTAGGAACAAGTAAATTCTAACCTTAACCCAAAACCCTAAATACCAAAACCCTAAAACCTAAATTCTAGGAAAGTACTATGGTCAAACATTTGCACGTCTGACTGTGCTCAAAACCAAGCTTGCATAAATCCTCCTTCATGGATTTTTTTTGGACGTTATCGCACAGGTGCCGATAGGGGGGATAATATCCCTAAACCCTAAATAACACCCATATAACCCCATATAGTGGGGGGGATAATGTCCCTAAACTCACCCTATACAATATCCCCCAAGACCCTAAACCCTAAACCTTCAACCCTATAACCTTAAGATGAGAGTCACCGAAGTAACGCCGGAGCGTAGCTGGACGCCGAGAGAAGGCCGCAAGCTCAGTCGAGCGCCATCCAGGGATTGCCGGGCCTGGCGCACCTCAGTCTTGAAGTTACAGGTTTGGGGTTTAGGGGTTACACGGGCATATGTGGGAGTTACCCAAAATTAGGGCACCTTTTTGAGGGGTCCCCATAATCAAGGATTCCTGGCTTGGGGTCCAGTGCCTCAGGACCTGTGGTCTACACAGGGTTCGGCTATAGGTATTCCTGTCCTATAGTCGCTCGCATAAGAGTCCCTGAGCCTACACCACGAGCATCTGTGAGGTTTCTCAGAAGGGGAGCCTACGGGATGTGTAGGGATTTCACAGTTTTGGGGGTGCTCAGGGTTTTGCTTTTAGGTTTTGGGGGGCCGCAATTGAAGATAGTAATTGCAGGACTTGTCTTGAGAAACTCAGTATGACCATAAAGGGTTACTCAGAAAATTATGGGTCCATTGAAGGTGCAAGATTTAGTAAGGCACCCAGTATTTGAGTATACACCACACAGTTTTGGGGTTAAGTTGGAGGGTCACCCCCGCAAGCCAACAATTGCACATTTATGAGACATCGGTGTTGATAGCCTTGCTCTCCAAAACAGGGACCCTATAACAATCGCATGACTGCTGTAGGATCTCAATTTGGGGTCTTGGGGTTCCCACAGTTCAAGAAGCCCCTCATTAATCAAATTCTCAAGGCTACATCTGCGATGTGGCGAGTGCCCTGCAACAACACAGTTATTTCGAAGGGGTGATGTGCCGAAAAAACCTAAGCCCTTCGCACCCTAAACCCTAAACCCTAAACCCTAAACCCTAAACCCCTGCCAAGTTCGGCAATGGCTTCCCCTCCGTAAACCGACCCTGGTGAATGCGTAGTACTCCAGGGCTCCCCAAAAGGTTTTCCCGATAATTACATAACTACTATAGTATATTGGGGTCATATTATATAGGGATTATATTGGGATAATGGAAAAGAAAATGGAAACTGCTATAGTATATTGGGGTTATATTATATAGAGATTATATTGGGATAATGGAAAAGAAAATGGAAACTACTATAGTATATTGGGGTTATATACCATCTAGGTTCTAGGAGCCCTTCAAGTCCCAAAGAGACAGAAACCATCACCCCAAGTCCCTGTAAGCCCTACTCTTTGCACCCTCATCCCTTCACCATCCTGAGCCCATTGCACCCTACCCTTCCCTAGGCTAACATGGAACCTCAAAAAATACTGTGTGTACATTACTGTTCTTTATAAGGGCTCGATATCTTAGCTTGGGAGAAGGTAGGCCCAGCTGGAATATGTTTGCTCATCTAAAGCCCTCTACAACCCAAGCCTCACTTACCCTCATCCGAGTCATACTAAACCCTCGACACCCTGAGCTTCACCTCCAAAACCCAAAGCTCATTGACTTTGGGGTTTCCTTTTTGGGGGTCCCCAGGATAAGGGTCATAGAACAGAGTGGAGCCCCTTTTTACGGAAACCTCCATCTATCCTCGGCACGGCAACTACGGACTCCAGCCGACCAAGCTCAGCTGGTGCAGACCATCTTCCAGCCATGGCGACGTCCGCAAAGCTCCGTGCGGAAGGGTTTCTAAAAGGACTTTCATGGGAACCCCAAACAGGGAAACCAAAAAATGCAGTAGGAATAAAACTTGAATGAAATCCTTCTAGTTTTAGGACCAAGCTTAGGACTAACGTAGGTGCCAACAGGACTAGAATGGGGTGTGGGATGTATCATACTACACTTATACCAGGATTGTAAGGGAATTACGCGGCTCATTATTCTGTCTTCTAAATCATAGGCGCATGACTCAAAAAATGACTGATTTAGGATCAGGGCTCAAGCTTCCGGCTTGAACTGACCGGCCCACGCTGAGTTTTGGTGCTTGCGTCACGTTGATGCAAGAATCGTTGCATGGAATTGAATCACTAACTGAGCGGCTGGCGCTTTGTAGGGCTGGACTTACAGCGTCTAAATCTGGCCTACACGGCCCCAAACCCTAAAAATTGCGGAATCCAGGCAATCACACTGAAAGCCCTTACCCCGAGCCCTCGTGTACCCTAAACTCCGAACTGGCTCTGTAAACCCCAAACTCTAAACCCTAAACCCCGAACCACATGTGGAAGCACAAGGACCACCTCTTCTCCCTCGGAGTCCACATCCCACAAACGCGGCTTCCTATCGGGAAGGCTCCAAGCGTGACGAACGGGATTATAGAGTTGGGGTAGAAGTGTTTTGACATGCTGTATAGGTTGAGGTGCTTGTGGCTAAGAGTTGAAATCCCATAATGCTGAATATAAAGGTGATAAGAATGTACAGAAAGAAATAGTTCCTTACAAAACTGCCACACACACACACACACAAACAGGGCCCGCCAGTTTGGAAACTCCGGGCGACTCACTATTTAGCGCCATAGGTTGCTGCCATTTCGGTCCAAAAGCTGGGTAAGTCAAAAAACACAATCCGGAATTGAATTATTGAGGCCCTTCTGGGAATATTCCCACCCTAAACCCTCAACAATTAGCGGAGAAAGCAAACCCAAATCTGCCTTGCCCGTGGCCAGCAAGCGCTCAAACCGAAGGGGTTGCTCAAGAACCTAATGTATAAGCCTAGATGATACCCAACATTGGGTTAAGGGCTTAGGGTTTACGGCTCAACAGTCCTTAGATGAATATCATATATGGGTACCTGAAATAAACCTCAACATGATATAGGTATCTATTTTAGGGCCTACAGTACATAATCCCTTTACATCGCCCCAACTAAGCTAGCTTCCATGTTGTTTTCCATGTGATTCTCCATGGTGATTCTCCATGTGATTCTCCATTATTGGTTGTACCTACTGGGGTTAGGTGGGAAATGTTAGATGAGGTTTTGATGAACCCTAGACCCGAAATGGTTGTTTGCATGTGCTTTTCCATTATCTATATCGCAGTGTCCCAAAATAGGCGGATCCCAATATAGAACCCCAAAATGCCATCATCATTATTGCAAGGACCCGCAAGATGGTAGACCTAATTTTGGGAACCGCCAAACATACATCCCTATATCACCTCTACCATATGGAAACTGCCATTTCTGGCATCACTCCAAGATCTTAGCCTGTCAAACGAGACACAGCCCATGTTCCTTTAAAGTTGAAAACCTACTTACCGTGGCAGCGCTTGACTTCTTAGCTGGCTGGGCTCTATCCTCTATCTAACGCTTGGATTCCCAAACCCCCACCCTCAACCCTAAACCTAGACCCTAAACCAAACTGAAAAACTCTAAAATTCAAAGCCCTGAACCCTAAACCCAACCTGAACCCTTAAACCAAACTAAAAACCCTAGAACCTTGAACCCTGAACCCTAAAACCCAACCTCAACCCTGAATCCGGCTCATTAGGCCTCTGCCTCTCCACGCGCTTGGCCTGGAAGGCCTGTCTTGCATAGATTGTACAGCATAGTCTTAACTGTGGGTTGTTGGGAATAAAGGAATATACATATGTGGATATATGCATATATATATATAGGTTTAGGGTTAAGGCTTCAGGGTTTAGGGCTTAAGGTAGGGAACAAGGGAATACATTATATAGTGATTAGATACCCTTATTCCCGACTAACCACTTGTAAGTAGTTGGGTTTGGGGTTCAGGTTCTAGGGCACCGTTCATGTTCCCAAAGCCATGGGCGTCTAAATCTAGTCTCCCCAAATCCATGTGCCAGTTTCAGTTAAACCCTAGGCCCTAAACCCTAAACCCTAAACCCCAGGCTTTGGGACCTCCTGGCTGCGGCCCTCAGGTATCTATAGGTGCAGCTGCATGGCAACAAATGTGTAGCTTAGTCGTGCTAAGTTGAGAATGAGGGACCATCTACATGCCCGGGAATTCTGTAGGGATCTATTCCTCCTTTCCCCACTAAGCATGCATATGGAGGAAACTCGCCATGCAGCCGGCGAAGTTCTGAAAAGGGTATGTCTACCCTGCTTATCAGCCTTGATATGAACGTTTTTCTTTGCACTGGAACCCTTCGTCGTGTTGCTCTTGTTACTGGCAGCCTTGCTTCAATCGCCAAGGCTGCGAGCATGCGCAGAAAGTCAACAAAGGTTTCCCGTAAATCCGCATACTCCAGACATGGAAACTGGACCCCATACCCTATAATGTACCATAGTATACCATAAAAGACCATAATATACTAGCATATACCATAACATACCATCATATACTGTAATCAGGAGGGAAACAGCAGAGAA